GGTGACCCTGGCATGTTCTCCGACCCTGTTCAGAAGATAACAATTATATATATATATATATATATATATATATATATATATCTATATATACTCGAACCCATACTCCCAGAAGCAACGCAACTGGTATGTACAAGACGCCTTAATCCACTTGACCATCACGACCGGACAAAATGAGGTGATAGCCGAGGCTATTTGAACCACCCCACCGCCGGCACTCGGATAGTAATCTTGGGCATAGCATTTTACCAAATCACCTCATTCTTTGGGGCACACGTGAGGAACACAAATGCGAACAAGCCTGAATGGTCCCCAGGACAATATGCAACTGAAAATGAATGAAGAAATCACCAAAGATCACCAAAGAATGAGGTGATTTGGTAAAATGCTATGCCCAAGATTACTATCCGAGTGCCGGCGGTGGGGTGGTTCAAATAGCCTCGGCTATCACCTCATTTTGTCCGGTCGTGATGGTCAAGTGGATTAAGGCGTCTTGTACATACCAGTTGCGTTGCTTCTGGGAGTATGGGTTCGAGTCACTTCTGGGGTGTGAGTTTTCAGTTGCATATTGTCCTGGGGACCATTCAGGCTTGTTCGCATATATAATATATATATATATATATATATATATATATATATATATATATATATAGATATATATATATATATATATATATATATATAAGGTGGGTGAGGCTGAAGCTCATTTTTTTTTAAGTAACTCTGTACCTTGTTTGTAACCAGTGTTGTAACCCAATTTTGTTTAATAAAGTTTCAAATAAGAAAAAAATACAAATATAAAAGTGGTGGTAGGAGAGGTTAATATACATGCACTCCATAGAGCTCCACAAGTCTCCCTCCCCCCCCCCCAGTGCTGCATATTCTCTTCTTCGAGGTTTAGGGTCCCCCTACACACACAGCGAGGTATAGTACCTCCATATATATGAAGGGATATTTTCCGGAAAACCTTTTTTTTCGTATAAAAAGTAAATAAAAAAAAGAGTTCAAGCAATGTAATGTGTTTTGACGTGCAATATAAACTTTTAACTCTCTCTCTGTCCTCTTTCCATTTTGGGAATTCCCAGGGTATTTATTGGCATTTAAATTCAATATACTTGTATTTTGTTTCCATTTGTGGTACAGACTGGTTTATTGAACACATATGAACACCCGAGAGGCGGTGACCGTGGTGGTCCAGGACCTGATGGGTCTGTGTGGTCTCGTGGTGGTCCAGGATCTGTTGGGTCTGTGTGGTCTCGTGGTGGTCCAGGACCTGATGGGTCTGTGTGGTCTCGTGGTGGTCCAGGACCTGATGGGTCTGTGTGGTCTCGTGGTGGTCCGGGATCTGTTGGGTCTGTGTGGTCTCGTGGTGGTCCAGGACCTGATGGGTCTGTGTGGTCTCGTGGTGGTCCGGGACCTGATGGGTCTGTGTGGTCTCGTTGTGGTCCGGGATCTGTTGGGTCTGTGTGGTCTCGTTGTGGTCCGGGACCTGATGGGTCTGTGTGGTCTCGTGGTGGTCCAGGACCTGATGGGTCTGTGTGGTCTCGTTGTGGTCCGGGACCTGATGGGTCTGTGTGGTCTCGTGGTGGTCCAGGACCTGATGGGTCTGTGTGGTCTCGTGGTGGTGCAGGACCTGATGGGTCTGTGTGGTCTCGTCGTGGTCCGGGACCTGATGGGTCTGTGTGGTCTCGTGGTGGTCCAGGACCTGATGGGTCTGTGTGGCCTCGTGGTAGTCCAGGACCTGATGGGTCTGTGTGGTCTCGTGGCGGTCCGGGACCTGGTGGGTCTGTGTGGTCTCGTGGTAGTCCAGGACCTGATGGGTCTGTGTGGCCTCGTGGTAGTCCAGGACCTGATGGGTCTGTGTGGTCTCGTGGCGGTCCGGGACCTGGTGGGTCTGTGTGGTCTCGTGGTGGTTCGGGACCTGATGGGTCTGTGTGGTCTCGTGGTGGCCCAGGACCTGATGCCTGACGTTTGACACCCCCTCAACTCTGCCCCCCGCCTGCCTGACGAACCCCAGGACCTGAAAGATATAACTTGCAATATTTCATGTCGATGTTACTGGGTTGTGTAGGTGCTGCTGGGAATTATGGGTCCAGTTTTGGAGAATATTTCCTCCTTAGGTGCAGGAATTATGTGACAGGGGACCAGGTGTGTATAGACATTTATACGTAATTATATGCTTTGTTTAATTCCCTCTTTCATCCTAGTTCCATAATTTACATTTTTGCACTCGCACCTCACCTTCTGTACTCCCACCTCGTCTGCACTCTGGGTTTATATTGTTATCCTTCTCAAGTTGTGATTACGGGCTCACCTTAGACCGTGCTACATGTACACATAGTTCTGAGTAGCTGAATCTGAAACAATAACAAGTTGTGACCCCTCAGCCCCCCTCCTGTGCCAGGTAAGTCCACTACGGGCTCACCATAGCCCGTGCTACTTGGAACTTTTAGTTCCCAGTAGCTGAATCTAGAACAACACGTTGTGACAACTGATTTCTCAAGTTGTGGCTTTTATGGGCTATTCATGCCCGTGCCACCTCTTGTGTGGGGCTTAATCTTTATTAATCAAGTTGTGACTTGATATGGAGCTTCAGTATTGGAGAAAACAGTCTTACACTCTCTTTTCTATTCCTTTCTCATTCATTTGTGATGGTTGTGGTATTTAAAAGGCTACTGAGTTCCAGACAGCCTCCTGGACCCACTTGGTGGGCAGCCATAACACAAGACGCTCAGTCATCAGCTGCGTCAGTCTCAACGAAACCGCTACATCAGCGGTCATTCATCTCTACGCTGACACCCAACTGAACATGTGCATGCGAGTGAGATCTGTAATATAGACATAGGTTTTCTCCCTTTTCTATAAAAATTACATATTTCAGACAGGTAAATTTTTAATTTACAATGATCTTTACTAAAAAAAAAAAACATTAAACAATAAAGAAGGCAAACGGTCATTGTCGACGATAGTTTGGAGGAAACGGTCATTGTCGACGATAGTTTGGAGGAAACGGTCGTTGTCGACGATAGTTTGGAGGAAACGGTCGTTGTCGACGATAGTTTGGAGGAAACGGTCGTTGTCGACGATAGTTTGGAGGAAACGGTCATTGTCGACGATAGTTTGGAGGAAACGGTCGTTGTCGACGATAGTTTGGAGGAAACGGTCGTTGTCGACGATAGTTTGGAGGAAACGGTCATTGTCGACGATAGTTTGGAGGAAACGGTCGTTGTCGACGATAGTTTGGAGGAAACGGTCATTGTCGACGATAGTTTGGAGGAAACGGTCGTTGTCGACGATAGTTTGGAGGAAACGGTCATTGTCGACGATAGTTTGGAGGAAACGGTCATTGTCGACGATAGTTTGGAGGAAACGGTCATTGTCGACGATAGTTTGGAGGAAACGGTCATTGTCGACGATAGTTTGGAGGAAACGGGGGGAAAAAATCCAAAAAATCCACAATTCCCGTGACGACAGATGAGCCCGGGATAAAAGAGAAAGTCAGGATAAAACAGTAAAGGACACCCTCCTTCCCCCCCCACCCCCCAACTCCCCCAACCCCCCCACCCCAACCCCACCCACCCCACCCCACCCCCTTAGCACTAGAAACTTAAACTCCGTGCAATGAAGAGCACTTGCTACGGAAACGTTGCAGTATTGAACCAATTTCTACTATTACACTCATTTGATATGAGTACAATAGGCACGTGCTAAGGTCTACATCTACGTTCTGTGGTCTACAGGGTGAGTGAATATACTTTTTTCTGTGAGTATACTGGTCGTCTCGACTGGGTATATCCATATGTCCTCCCATCACAACTATGGACTATGGAGTTTTCCTTTTGTGTTGATTTTCCCTCTGCCTCTAAAGATGCTAAACTGAGCTTTAGTGTAACGTGCCAATCAAAGTGAAAAATAAACTATAAGGAGTAAATTTTACAACTTCTTCCCTAGTGAATAAAAACATTGGAAATTTAGTGGAGAATCATTGAATCTAAATATTTCATTTCATTAATGTATCATCGTGAACAACGTCTTGTTCATGATGATACATTATATACATTATAGTGTATCATCATGAACAATACACAGATGCGTTCATAGATACGTTTAATTCAACTCTTATGACATGTATGTTTTATATAGTGTAGCAAGAAGAGCTTAGTACCCGCACCGGGCCTGAACAAATACCCACACCTGGCCTGAACAAATACCCACACCTGGCCTGAACAAATACCCACACCTGGCCTGAACAAATAGCACAAAACAGGCAGAAAGCTGTGTTTAGGGAGCCGGTCGGCCGAGCGGACAGCACGCTGGACTTGTGATCCTGTGGTCCCGGGATCGATCCCGGGCGCCGGAGAGAAACAATGGGCAGAGTTTCTTTCACCCTATGCCCCTGTTACCTAGCAGTAAAATAGGTACCTGGGTGTTAGTCAGCTGTCACGGGCTGCTTCCTGGGGGTGGATGCCTGGTCGAGGACCGGGCCGCGGGGACACTAAAAGCCCCGAAATCATCTCAAGATAACCTCTCAAGATAACGGCCCGCTTGAAGTCTTGCATTGTGAGCCCTGTTCAACGGGTGAAAACAAGACTTGTTATATATCTATGAACGTCCTCACTAATTACGTTCAGTAAAGTAATATGATATCTCGTCTCACAGCGAAATTAGCTTCCTTTGAGCAGTGTGAGGGAGGAACGTGAGAAGCTTCAACCCGACCAAGGTAGGGGGAAGATGAATAAGATATGAAGAATAATTGAGAGGGAAGAGAAGGGGGGAAGTGTCGACAGACGAACTGGAGAAGCTGTTTTATATAGTCAATGAGGAGCATATGAAATCTATCCTGTCTGTGTGTGTGTGTGTGTGTGGCTTGACGTGTTGACTGAGTGGACAGGTTTCATGGCCTGTGTGCGTTTTACTGGGCTGTGATGGGGCCAGTGAGTTAGTCACAGGACCAGTGAGTTAGTCACAGGCATGGTAGGGTACTATAGAGCCAAGTTGGGGTGCCACAGGGGCTAGTTGGGATGCCACAGGGGCTACTTGGGGTGCCACAGGGGCTAGTTGGCTGCGACAGGGGCTAGTTGGGGTGCCACAGGGCTAAGTTGGGGGCCACAGGGGCTAGTTGGGGTGCTACAGGGGCTAGCTAGTTGGGGTGCTACAGGGGCTAGTTGGGGTGCTACAGGGCCAAATTGGGGTGCCACAGGGGTTAGTTGGCTGCCACAGGGCCTAGTTAGAGTGCCACAGGGCCTAGTTGGGCCCTAGAACCAAACCGGGATGTCAGAGGGCAAGGGTCTGGTGCCACCGGTACAGTAGAGGCGACACAGGTGCCGGTAACAAGGAGGTGCCACGAGAAGTGGCTCCTCCTTGCTTCCTCCTGTCTCCCTCCCTCCCTCTCCCTTCATCTCCCTCTCCCTCCCTCCCTCTCCCTCCCTCCCTCTCCCTTTCCCTACCTGCCCATCCCAACTCTTCCCATCCTCCCTTGCCGACGCCCCCATCCCAACACCTCAAGCAGCAGCTCTCAGCAGTTAAACATTACGGATTGTGAGCTAACTGTGAATAATGAAGAGTGTGAAGCGCCTCCGGGTGTAGTGCAGTGAAGGAGGTGAATAATGAATGAGAACCCGCCGCCTCCTGGCCCAACCTCATAACCAAATATGTACTCACCTAGTCACCTAGTTGTGTTTGCGGGGGATTGAGCTCTGGCTCTTTGGTCCCGCCTGTGCAAGAGCATTAAAGAGTGACTCTCAGTCATGCCTACGAGGCACAGGTTGCTGAAGCAGGAAGGCAGAGTGAAAAAGAGAATCCAACAACCATAATTGACTTTGATGAAAGTGATCGGTGGGAGGCAGCAGCTGCAGGAACGGGTGAGCTGCCATCTTTCACGACTGTCAGAAAGCCTCTGACGCGTCCCTGACAAAAATGACTGACATATAAGATGGACAAACAAACTAACATAACAGGAAAGTCACGAGATGTATCTAGGATAAAATATTGAGGTGTAGGGAGTCCAGGGCCGCGGGTTCGATCCCATTTCACGACCCTAATGTTTTCAAAAACCTAAGAGGACTTGTAAGAGACGCAGAGAGAGAGAGATGACGAGCAAGGAGCCTAGTAGGATCATTACCGAGTTATCTCTAATTATCAACATTAATCACCTTCCTTAGTGTCCCTCGTGCCTGTGTGTGTGGACGTTACTAAGCTGACGAGGAGAATAAAGTAACGAGTACCAGAACAACGAGAAGATATTATACAAAGTCATCAAACACCAAGCGCAGATAAACAGTGTCAGAAGCACTCATAAGAACAGCTTTTTGACCAAGCTCAACACGACCCTTCAGAACCCCAGACGGGCTGTGCTAGGCCAGGAGGACGTGCCCAGGCGTGCAACCCAACCTTAAGAAGGTGTTGAAGAACATTTAGGAGAGCCGGAAACTTGTCGGTGAGGTGATATCAGGCCCACGAGGCATCAGCTGATCAGACAGCTTCGTAGAACTGAAGCTGCAAACGCGGTAGGGAAGAAGATTCAGATTACAAATGGCTACGACGTAGGAGATACCGAGAGACGAAGTGGACAACTGACTAACTGTTTCAGATGAGGAAAAGAAGGCTACAGATAGACGTGAGAATACGTGGCACCCACGATTAAAGAGGCAGGGCCCAGGAGCTAATCCTACCTACCTACCCGCAAGCTCTCAAGTTAGAACACACGCCATGTACTCGAGTCAGCCTCTGTTTGTAAACAATGGATCAGCTGTTATCCTCTGTAAACAATGCATCAGCTGTTAGCCTCTGTTTGTAAACAACGGATCAGCTGTTAGCCTCTGTTTGTAAACAACGAATCAGCTGTTAACCTCTGTTTGTAAACTACATCAGCTGTTAGCCCCTGATTGTAAACAACGGATCAGCTGTTAGCCTCTGTTTGTAAACAACGAATCAGCTGTTAACCCCTGTTTGTACACAATGCATCAGCTGTTAGCCCCTGTGTGTAAGCAACGGATCAGCTGTTAGCCTCTGATAACAACGGATCAGCTGTTAGCCTCTGATAACAACGGATCAGCTGTTAGCCCCTGTTTGTAAACAATGCATCAGCTGTTAGCCCCTGATTGTAAACAACTCATCAGCTGGTACAGCCTCCCAGTGCACACCCACACGCGGCCACTGACAGCAACACAATGTCAGGATCAAACTATTCCTCTTTCATCACAATAATAACAACATTTGTGTAGCTCTGATGGAGACGAGTGTGAGCGGTCTGGCGTGTCCGAGCTCTCAGTGTGCTTGGGGGGGCAAATGCACAATTTTAATCGCAAACAACATTTTTTTTGTATTCAAGTATGGGTTTCCAGTATTATGTCATCATACAACCAGTCATTGTAATGACAACACACGTCCAATCAGTATAATGACAGTACACATCCAGTTATTATAATGATAGCACACATCCATTCTCTAGAATGATAGCACAGATCCAGTCATTATAACAACACACATTCAGTCATTATAATGATAGCACACATCCAATCTATATAATGACACCATACACATCCAGTCATTATAAAGACACCATACACATCCAGTCATTATCATTTACACCATTTTAACTGATAAATTAAACTTCAACTCATCATCTCACTCGAACTGATTAAAATTTTTTTTTTTTTTTTTGGGTGGTGAGGATTTCGGACCATTTGCATACAAATAAGTTGGTGGAGGCGAGAGCTG